GGAGCGTTGAGGCTTGGCTGGTTTTATTGTGATTGCAGAGGACAAAGTTCCTGTGATATCCTAAGAGGGTGACAGTGTCTAGAAATAAGGCACAGTCTCCATTGCACCACCATGTCCTGAGAAATGGTTTCTTGAAACATTCAAACAACCTTTCTGATTAAATAAAGCTGATCCCAAAGGGAAAAAAAATGGAGAACCTGGACATGGAGGTTTGGAGAGACGTCTTTAGGGACCTGATGGAACTGGTGAAACCTGGGGATGCCTGGAAGCTCACCCTGGACCAGAAACGGGTGTGGCAAAACTAAAATCTAAAAGCACGCTTGATTTCACGAGAGGAGGGGAGGAAGGAGCTGAGTCTGTAACCCCAAGTTTTATCATCATGGCTCTAAGACTGTGGTTCCCAGTCATGGGTCTCCAGATATTTTTGGACTGCATCTCCCAGAAATCCTGGCCAGAACAGCTATAGGTGAAAGCTTGTGGAGATTTTAATCCAAGGGCATCTGGATACCCAAGGTTGAGAACCAGCACTCTAAGAGAAGCCTAAGAGAAGTGTCTTAATTATGCCTTCTCTCATTTCCTCCCCCTGTCTTTCTTCATTAGATTCACATGCTCACAATGTCGTCGCGGATGGACCTCGCATCCAGCAGTGATCTTGTTCTACCTGCGTTGGGAGCGATCTTTGAAGCGAGGACGGGTGAAGATGTTCTTCTTCATTGAGCAAATATGAAGAGCCCAAATTTACTGAGGAGACCATCCTCAATGTCTTGGAGGACTTGGTCTTCACCATAAGAAAGAGGTGCTACCAAGATCATGTAGAGGACGGGAACCCCCAGGAGGTCGTCCGCCAGAGTGGTGGCGGCCCACATAAAGAGGATTATTGTGAAGCTTGCCAACTGGGAATCCACAAGGGGCATTCTGAGACCCTTCAAGATGGAGTCCCCCAAGACAGGACGTCCCCTCTGAAGCCCCAACACAAGGAGCAACTCACTCGGTCTCAAATTGTAACTAGCGATGGGGCAACCTTTCCTGCAGAATCCCAACACAGAGAGATTTCAGAGTCCATTAGAGTGGGAGGGAGTGCCCCAGGGCATTCAGAGAACCCTCAAGATGGAGTCTCTCATGGCAAGACTTCCCCTCTGAAGCCCCAACTCAAAGGGCACCTCACTTGGGCTCAAAGTATAACTAGCGAAGGGGAAAACTTTCCTCGGAAATCCCGACACAGAGAGGTTTCAGATGCTGTTAGCATG